CTCTGCGTTCTTTGTTTGGGCGAGGAGCACACACGCGATGTCCTTGAGGGGGCAATCCGCGTTCATTGCGAGCATATCAATGCTTCTCTCTAGAGTTATTTTTTTTATAGCTGACTATCACGTTTATGTAGGCTACAATGAATGTCTTTCCTGAGGTAATTGTGACTTTGTGTTTTGCTGTCTTTCTGTGGCTGAAAAAACACGTTTATGGTTTGTATTTTGTGATTAAAATTCCCTGGTGATTATGTGTGTATAATCCTTCTGTGAGATTTCTTTGCAGTGTGTTTCTGTCCTCTCTAAGGTAGGTCCTCTGTGTGCACACCTTTGCTGGATTCAGAAACCAGGTGCTCGACTTGCAGTGTTCCACTCAACCAATGTGTCTCTAATTTGACACACTTGGAAGTGTCGCTCCCCTCACCATTGAGGGTTACTATGAGCATGCTGCTTCCTATCGAGCGCCCGGGTTCGCTCCGTGGGCTGGCCTAGGCCTTTGGCCGTAGGGAATAAAGTCACAGACAGCCGTCTGACGTTCCAGGTGCAACTCACCATGAAAATGGTAAAGTTGGTACTTAGTGCTCGCCATGGTTCTGGCCCGCATTCCCCTCAGCATGGCGGTGTCTGTTTTATAGTAGGGCAGCGCACATATTCGCAAAGGGCCTGTCCCAATACCCACCTTTGCAATCTTTGTCACTGACCACTTGTCTACTTGCATGATGTATTTCCTGTATTTGGCTCAAGTGTTGAAGTGGATGTAAGGTCTGCAAGTGTGTGTAGAACTTTTAATTATTTAATGGAACACATTTGCGAGTAAAGTTTTTCCAGATTTTTATTTATACATTTTGATTCATTACTTTGCACAAATAAACTTCTGGTGCTCATTAAGTGATAAATAAGCAGTTGCAAGTGTTTTACAAAAAAAAAAAAAAAAACACATACTCATCTCTGTACCACTAAAATGTGCAACACTTTACGTTTTACTTCAGGGGTGTCAAACTCATTTTAGGGTGAGGGCCGGATGAGAAGAAATGTGACCATGTGCGGGCCAAATCACTTTTTATTTTAATTTTTTTTTTTTATTTATTGTTATAGTGCACTAAATTACAAATTAATTTGCCAAAAGAAAAAAAAAAACTAGAAAGACACTATTCTGTAAAACTGCATTTAATAAGAAACTGTTCATTAACACTCTTATTCCTTATTCCTATAATGTTGTCTAAGTAATGGCAATCAAAAACTTTTAATATATTATTTGTCGTATAATTTTTAGTAATGAGAAAATAAGAAAAGAAAATGCTACAGACTCTATTTGTGTACAGACAGTTACATTAAATATGAACCATAATTTACAAACTTAGAAAAACACTTCACAATTAAAAAAAAACTGCCTTTAACATATTTAACTACTCAATAGTATTGCTTATGTAAGAAAAAAAATAAACAAAATAATTTATTTATGGTTAATTAATTCAAATGGAAAAATAAAAAAAATCATTCACTTTGGATATGATCATTAAATATACACTAGAAATGAGAACTTTCCTGTAACAAAGAAATATCTAGATTGCATTTGTAATGCATTAAGTTTGACATCATAAAGCACATACACATTATGATTTTAATTCCTGCTTCCTGACACCTGACATCTCTTTTCTTCAACCAGTGCATCAACATCAGCAACCAGTTTTTGAGCCGTTGCCACTCTCATAATGTCATTTAGATGTCTGTGTGTGAGTCGAGAGCGCAGGTTGGACTTGTTAATGTTCATTACAGAAAATGCCTGCTCACAGAGATATGTAGTCCCAAACATGCAGAGGATTTTGGACGCAAAACCTGTCCATTTGGAGTTCCTCCGGTACATCTGTTGCGCTCGCAGTAAACGGTGAACAGAAGAGAGAGAATTCCTTCTCAAGTTCATTGAAGACCTGGAAGCGATTCTGAAACTCATTCTGCAGAACAACAATTTTTTCTTTGTATTTGTCATGAGCGGTGTGCACAGATTTTAAAGAGGGAAAATGAGCTGGGTTAGGCCTACCTTGGGAAAGCTGTGTCGCCCACAGATCTAGTTTCATCTCAAATGCGCGAATGCAATCGTAATATTCAGTTACGACTTTGTTGCGGCCTTGCATCTTAGTATTGAGCACATTTAAGTGCTCAGTTAAAAAAGTGGCCCTGGACTTTTTGGCACAGAGCGGCCCAAACCCGGTCCGCAACACACCGCACCATGCACACCATAAATGACTGGCATTCTTTTTACATTATAATTTGTCTTTCCTAGTGTATATGGCAAATAGTAAATAATTAAATTTTTTTTACCAGGAACAGTTTAATATCACTAAAGTTATTATCAGTCCATATGACACAATGCTCTGGTGGTATCGTCTAGAAGACTTGAATAGTGCAGAATGCGGACTTTTGCAGGAGCTTGACATCTATCATTTTAAGGAATAGAGCTCCGATTGTGGAAAAGAGTATACAAATTATTTTGATGATGAAAATACAGTTAACAGTACTGTGAAATATATAATGTTACAATTTAAAATAGCTGTCTTCTATGCAAAGATATAGTGAAATATAATTAATTGCTGTGATCAAAGCTGAATTTTCATCATCATTACTCCAGTCTTTGCCTCTTCGGTGTCACATGATCCTTTAGAAATCATTCCAATATGCTGATTTGCTGCTCAAGAAACATTTCTGATTATTAC